AAAGACAGAGAGGCAGCTGGTCCCCTCTCCCCAACCATTTGTTCATTTATCCAGCTGATATCAGGTGACATGTGGCCCACTGGGTGTCACTTCATGGCTCAAGACCATTGTTCCCAAATCTGTTTCCCCAGGTTTGTGCCCCCAAGAGCTGGAGTGCTGAGTGGGATGGTGCAGCCACCCCGGGTGGTCAGCGTTCCCCCACTAGCTTGTGCTACAGGCGCCCTGAACAGCTCAGAGAAACAAATCTCGGCATGGCTGAGGTTCCAATGGGAATTTGGGTGGGAGAGAATCTCGCCCGTACCGTGCTGCCCTTCCTCCAGCCCCTGAGGTTGGGCTCTGGGCTCAAGGGCAGGTCTCAAGATGGTAGCTTAAGTCTTTGTGGCCAGGTTGTGTCTATCGAATGTCCCCAGTGGGGGTACGTGGTCAGGGAGTTTGATGGGGGTCTTCTCCCGCATTTGGCTTGTGGTCTGGAGGACCACGAGACCAGGAGGAGGTGCCAGGCTGGTGTCAGCTCTAGGTGGTGTGGTTGTCTGACGGGCCTCTGGGATATCCTGTCAGAGGAAGCCAGGATCTCTGTCCTAAACACGCTCCGATTGGCTTCTGTGGAGTCCCCTCTGCACACTCCTACCTTGGCCTCAGGCAGCCTCTGTCTGGGACAGGACTGCATGTTCACCTGTCTGCCTTTCTCTCCAGGCTGGAGACCATGAGGGTGAGGAAAGGTCTGAATCAACAGAATCAGAACAAAGGCAGTCTATGCCCCTCTGTGATACTGTTAATGCAGGACAGAGGCATGAGAACTACACACGTGGACTAAATATTAAACTGGGTTGTATTCAGAGCCTGCTTCGTGCCATTAGAAGCCTGAACCTGGCTGATCAGCATAGGCCAGACAGGGAACCTATGGGAGGACTCCCGCAGAGATTACTAAGGACTACCTCCCCACGCCTTTAACGCTGCATTCCCACACCATGAAAGGGAAACAGATATACACCCAGTTCCTCCAACGCTCAGGGTCTCATTTTCTGGCTTTGAGGGGAGACCACGTCTCTGACTGTGGAGCATTATTTCTTCTCGAATAAAATTTCCTTTTGTCTCTAACTCTGGCTCACGCTTGAATTCTTTCCTGCGTGAAGCCAGGGACCCTCTCTCAGCAGGCGTAGGGCTTGAGTTCCCCGCTCGGGGAAATTCACCCCATATCCCACATCACTGTGATACCAGAAGAAATACAGTCGTTCCCCCTTATTCGCAGTTTTGATTTCCATGGTTTCAGTTACTTGCAGTCAACTGCAGTTTGAAAGTATTAAATAGAAAATTCCGGAAATAAACATTCATGAGTTTTAAACTGTGCATCGTTCTGAGTAGCATTATGAAGTCTCGCTCTGTCACACCTGGGATGTGAATCATCCCTTCGTCCAATGTATCTATGCTACATACACTATCCTCCGACCCGCATGCTTAGTCTCTTGGTAGCTCTGCCAGTTATCAGATCGACTGTTCTATTTTATTATTAGTTGTTGTTAATCTCTTACTGTGTCTAATTTATAAATTAAACTTTATCATAGGTGTGTGAAAGAACAGTATATTTAGGGATCCCCGGTTGCAGGCATCCACTGGGGGGATCTTGAGACGTAGCCCCTGTGGATAGAGGAGGACTTTACTGTAAGTAGTTGGTCTTTGTCCCTGGTTCCTGGCACAGAACTCCTAAAACCCTCCCTAAAACCTTCAGAATTTTGAGTGGTAAGGGTGACAGGAGCATCTTTGTTATTCACAATGAGCCCTTTTCAACCTACCTGAGTTTATGCTAATGAGGTGAGCCCCAGGATAGCTTCAGGATTCTGGCTAGCACCAAGAGGAAGCAACCTCAGGGATTAGAGAAACTTTCAGCCCCACCCTCACCCCACTCCCCATAATCTCCAGGGAGGGGAGAGGGGCTGGAGATTGACTTCAATTGCCAATGGCCAATGCTTTAATCAATCATGTCTACATAATGGAACCGCCATAAAGAACCAAGACATGGGGTGTGGAGAGCTTCTGGACGGGTGGACACATCAGGTGCCGGGAGGGCAGCGCACCAGAGAGGACGTGGAAGCTCTGTGTGCCCCCATATCCTGAGTCGCAAACCGGTAATACTCAGTAAATTGTTTTCCTGAGTTTTGTGAGCCCTTCTAGTAAATTATTGAAACTGAGGAGGCAGTCATGGAGATGCAGGACAGGGCAAACTTCCCAGAGTGAGGGAGAGACTAAGCCCTGCGCTGAGAGAAGAGGGGGCTCCTTTGGCGGAGAGTGTGGGAAGAATTCAATACTTTCAGAAGGAAAGTTTATTAGAAAAAGAGGCAATACTCCACACACGGCATGGTCTCCTCTCAGAGGGAGGGAGGGAGGGAAGAAGAGAGTAAAGTTTATTAGAAAAAGAGGCAATACTCCACACACACCATGGTCTCCTCTCAGAGGGAGGGAGGGAAGGAGGAAGAGAGAGAGAGAGAGAGAGAGAGAGAGAGCGCGCGAGCGAGCGCGCGCACGAGCAAGAGAGCACCTAAGAGAATGAGGACAGCGAGGACAGTAAAGAGGACCGAGAGAAAGACAGTGAGAGGGACCCTGAGTGTTTGAGGAATTCGGTTTATATTATATATCATTCTATAGTTCCTCTGAGTTACAGTTTAAAGACTTTGCTGACCCATCTCCTTTGATATGGGCATACAGTGAGGAAGGGGAAGGGACAGGGGAAGGTTACGTAACATGAAAAGGTAAATAGTAGAGTGAAAGGCCTGCTGGCAGTTCCTAGCCTTTATTCCATAGGTTCTCCATGGTTTTAGCCATAGGGAATGAACATTTTATTTTGCAACATTTGATTTTGCGTAGGTCAGCCACTTAAAGACTGTTTTTCCTGTTTTTCTTTCACAGCGTGTGGGGAAATGGGTTGTTAGCAATCCCAGTGGAAATCTTCCTTTGTTCTGCAGGTGTCCTTCTGGCCTGGCCGCAGAGTTGATCAGCATATTGCAATCTCTGAAAATAGCTTAATTAACATTTTATTATCTTGCCTCCTCCCTGCATTAATGGGAATCCCTGATTTGTAACCAAGTTGGAAGATGTGTGGGCACCCTGGACATGCTCTGCTTGCAACTGGTGTCTGAAGTGGGGGCAGTCTTGTGGGACTGAGGGGTCTGCTATCTCCAGAATTGAGTTAAATTGTAGGACACTCACTGGTGTCTGGCGAGTTGGAGAACTGGTCGCTGTGAGAAAACCCACACATTTGGTGTCAGAAATGGTTGAGGAAAAAACAGATCATAGTAAGTTCATTCTTGGCCCTTCTCTGTCCCGCTCTGGGCTCAGGAACCTGGGACATGGACCATATACCATGCAGACCCCTCTGCCCCCTTGCTTCTGGTTAGGCGTGGTCAGTGGAGGCACCAGCATGAGATCAGAAGGCAGGAGGAGAGAGGCCAGGTATTTACTCACTGGCTCCCTCCACTGGCTTCATCCCTCTACCTACAGCCCCTGCTTCTGCCAAGCAGACCCTCACCCTTGGTTCCCGTTTACTGGCTCTTCAGTAAAGGCCACACCGGCCCCAGGTCAGCCTCTCATTTTGGTTTTGCCTAACATTGCCCACGCCTTTGTAAACTCTCTCAATTGCCTTGCAGGAATTGCAGGAAGGGAGAACTGCTCTAAGTCTTCCAGCCAGGAGGTGAGGCCAGCTGGAAACAGAGGCATGCCATCTGTTTCCTGCCGGGGCTGACCCACACAGGGCGTCAGTTTGTGGAACGCAAGGCCTTAGAATCACCCAGTACAACCTTCGCTTTTCACATAAGGGAACACCGAGGCCCAGAGAGTGTGAGTGACCTGTTCAGGGTCACCCAGCCCCAGATGCAGGTCTCGTGCTGCTCTGAAAATATTGTGGAGAGACCAAGGCAGAAATTGGAAGGCTGCTTGTTTCTTCCTCTCCTTGCCCCTCCAAACCCGGGTCCCCCAGAGTCATGTGAGCACTTCCTCCACAGCAGGCTCAGGATGTGTCTGCATTGGCCAATAAACAAATTAGGGCCGTGTGCACCTCCCAGAGACAGGCACCAGGAAAGCCAGCCAGCACCCTCCTTCCCTAAGCCCCTTACCCCAGCAGGTGACTCCCTCTACCTGGCATGGGGTACCTCCAGGCCTCCTCACCATCCCCCACCCCAACCCCTAGCTTTCCCCCACCTGCCCACCCAGCAGTCCCCAGTTGCTCCTGGGCCTTTACACATGCTGTTGCTCCTGCTTGGGTGCCCTCCTCATGTCTATCTGGCATAGTGCTGCCCTTTCTCCAAGGCCACACCTGCCCAGCAAGCCTCCTCCGAGCCTGATCTGACTCTTGATGCCTGAGTTCCCTCCATCCTTGTGCACGGTGATAGCCCTTTCCTCCTCCACGGTGGCGAGCAACTTGAGGGCAGAACCTTGCCTGGGTCATCTAGGCCCTGCTGGGGTTGCCCCGGAGTGGAGCTGATGATGAAAGTGCTGGGTGCCTGGATTAGGATCGGGGCCGGAGGCTGCTCTGGGCTTAGCCCAGGCTTCTCTAGGAGCCAAGTTACATACATAGTGCCTGCACTCCAGGCCCAGAGTGAGCACAGGGGTGAGTGAAGCTTAGAAGCTGCACCTCTTATGCAGGAATTGGAGGAAGGGAGAACTGCTCTAAGTCTTCCAGCCAGGAGGGGAGGCCAGCTGGAGAGAGAGGCTACAAGGAGGATGCTGGGATAAGGGGGCATCAACCGTCAGGTATACAGGGCAGGGTGAGCCCACCCTCCTCCTTGTTTTGGCCTCACTGCAGCCTAGTGGGCAGTGTGAACACACCCATTTTACAGATGGGGCACCGAGACCAGAAAAGAGGCTTGCCCTGCCCTAGATGGCTCAGTTGGTCTAGGACCTTGGACCTCAGCCCTGGTGCTATATCCTCCTGAACCTTCCCCCACCTCCACCCAGAGGCTGGGAACAGGGGCTGAGGAGACTGCTCAGGTATATAATGGCACAGACAGACATACAGGAAGGTGCTGGGGACATTTATTTCTGATATTTATTTCTGAGCTCTGGAAGCTGCAGGACATGCCCCCAGCCCAGGCTCTGCAGCCTGGACCAGGGAGGAGGCTAGGGGCAGATGGGAGCCCCCTGGCTTCCCTCAGGAGCTCCCCACAGCTGTCGGGCTGAACATGTGGTGGGGGTTATATCTTCTCACGCGCCCCGACTCCCCTGGTCCTGAAATGGGAATGCTCCCACAGCTGTCGTAGCTTGGGTGGGAGATGGGGAGGAGAGAGGGAGAATGATGTACACAGGGCCTGATCGAAGGACCCCAACTGTTGCCTAGAGGTGTAGGAGCACTGGAGAAACTGAGGCTCCACTGGCCAGGCTAGATTAACCAAAGGGAACCAGGCTATTTCTCTAAACCTCACAAAGCCAGTCCCTCCTCCCTGCGCTTTGCCATCACCCAGCCCCCTCTTCCACTCACCACACCCCAGGATGACTCTAAAATATTATCTGCTTGTCTTTCCTAATCAAACCCCCCACCCCCCACCCCCACTGGCTCCCTCTGGCCTTCAGGATACAGCCATTTCCTTAGCTGAGAATCAAGCACTCACCCCTTGCTTGGCCGCCTGAAACCCACCTGCCTCAGCACCTCCCCGTCTCCCTCCTCCCCAAATTCTACCCAGGAAAACAAGTTCCCCTTTTCCTCTAGGTGGCCTTGTGGACACCAGGGCCTGACATCTGAGCTCTGAATGAAAGTCTTGAGGCAAAGCTCAGCACTTGGCCTAAAAGCAATTCACCTCCTCCCAGGGAACTCCCAGGAGGTGAGCCTGCTGTTTACCCCACCTGCGATTCCAGATGCTGCCACCAGGGAACGATAGTGCCTGCTCAGAAATTGTTGGCAAGTTGCAGGCAGAGGGACAAGTGAGGGAGAGATTAAGAGGCTCTGGAACCTTAGGAGTCCCTTGCCGGGTAATTGTACCCTTGTCTGGCCTTCAGGGAAAACCACTCCAGCATGGCTAGCAAGGGAGAGCTTGGCTAGGGTCCTGGGCCAGGGGCTGCTGATGAAGAAGTGAGGGAGGAAGAAGGGGATAAAGGCGGTCCAGGTCAGGGACCTCACCCCTCCCAGGGGCCCAGGCAATATCGGTCCTGCCCACTTACCAGGTGTAGATGAGCAGGGTGAGGAGGGCAGTGAGGAGGACGGTCAGCAGGACCGACAGAATGGCCATGATGACTACGGTACCTGCACCCTGGGGCCCTGGGGTAGCCTGGAGTGCCACAGCTGAGAGTCGTGAGGGGGACCCACGGGCAGCCGGGGCAGGCCATGCAGGAAGGAAAGAAGTCTGATCTGACCCGAGAAGGGGGACCTAGAACAGCCTCCAGAACCCCCACTCCCTACTTGGCTGGGGGAGGCGGCCCTACAGACAACAGGATGGAAACGATGGCTCTGATTGACAGGGACTGGCCCACCCCCAGTCCTCAGGAGCCCCCCATGCCTCCAGCCCTGGTATGTAACCTGCTCACCTGGCCTCATACCTTGCTTCAGATGGGTCTCACTGGACCACTCTGTCTCAGCCACGGATCCTCTATCACTCATCACCAGGAACTTCACTCTGAACAGGGAACCCAACCAACACAAGGAGTAGGAGTCCCCAGGTTCTGACCCCTTGGGCCCTCTTGCCTGTCAGTCTGTCCCCTTGATTCCCAGGGCCTGACGGGTCGGGGAGCAGGGACTGGGGCTCAAGGCATAGTCTTGGAGCCCACCTGGAGGGGCTCCAATCTGTGCTGTGACACTTCCCAGCTGTGTGGCCTTGGGTGTGTCACCCTTTCTGGGACTCCACTGTCCTCACCTAGGAAATGTGAGTGGACTAGATCCCCCAGCACTGAACATCAGTGAACGAACCCCTGAGTGAGATGGTCAGGGAGCCGTCCTCCCTGGGTTGGGGAGACACCACCCGTGGGATCCACCATCCGTGGGATCCGAAAGGCCCATAGGGGCAGGGGCTTAAGTCAGAGGCCCTCTGCACAAGAAAGTTGGGAGAATTCACTCAGACCTCCTCCCTTTGGTGGAACTAGAGCGGGAGACCCAGTCACCTAGTTGTGAGCTGCCGTAGACTCAGGTTTGAGCACAGGCAGCAGCACATCTCTCATAGCAGGACCCAGCAGAGTTGCTCACCTGTAGGGGCCTGGGCCTGGCAGTGGGTGGTTGCAGCCCCTTGTCGTTGGGGAGCAGCTGGTGTCATTGCCGACTCGGAGGACCTGGAGCTGGTTGCCAGGCTGGCCCCCCTGGTAGAGAGCCCGGTTGGCCATCAGTGTGAGGTAGTAGCCCCTCTGGGAGAAGTCAGCAGGGACTGGGATGTCCTCCAACCTCTGTGGGGCAGTGAAGTTCCGGGCAGCTGAAGGTGGCATTCAGGTCATTTGGTGGGGGCCATGTGGGCAGGGCTCCAGCCTGTCCCACCGGGCTAGACAGTCCCCTGGCTACATCCCTGGCAGGACCTCCCACTCTAACCACCCCTTCTGCTCTTCATTCTCCTCTGCTCACTTCACAGAGGGAAAACCAAGGCCTGTCCGAGCGGTACCCACCATTGCTGTGGGCCACCACCAGCCAGATGGGGTCAAGGTCGGAGATGTTGAGGTGACTGAACCGGCCCCGTGGCTGCTCCAGCGTGAAGGTAGACTGGGTGCATTTCCCTGCCAGGGTGCCACTGGAGAGCCTGGGCACATAGCTGATGCTCTCTGGGGCCAGCGGGGACAGAGAGAAGAGACTCAGCAGGACAAGCAGGCCCCCGCAGCTCAGAATGAGGGGCCGGAGCCCGTGTCTGCCTTGGGAGCCCGGTCTGAGGGAGGAGGTGGGGCTTTCCCTGACTTTTCAGGAGGCCTCCCTGGCAACTCTGTGCCCATGGGCCATGGGTAAGTGGTCTGAGTCCAGCCCTGGCTCCGCCTTGGGAGCTTATGAGGGGTGGACACTGGGGAAATCAGGGGAGGCCCATATGGCCCTGCCCTACCCGAGTCACTGGGCTTTCTATGTGGTGGGCAGGGCCCCAAGAAAGGGGACAGACAGAGGCACGGGAGGTCCCCTCCCCCTGCTACAGGCACAAGTGTTCTGGGGAAGGGGCCTTAGGCCTTCTTGGGGTGAGACTCAGATATGGGGGAGCCCGAGTCCAGCTGGTACCCAATGGCCTTGAGCTCTGACTCCCTAGGCCTCAATTTATCTACCTCTGAAGTCTCTCCAGCTCCACCCACATGGTCTAGATTGGTTTGCTTGATGAGAGGAATGAAAGGCTCGAGAGGGGTGGAAAGGTGACACAGGAAGGTCCCCACCAAGACCCCAGGCCCCGGGGATGTGAGCCATCAAGAGGGGTGCCATGTCCTGGCTCAAAGCCTAGGACACCCTCTCCTCCCCACCCAGTGCTTAGCCACCTCCCACCACATCCGAAGGCACCTTCCCCTCCTGGAACTTGTCCCCCTCTCAGCCCCTCACAGCCTCATCTGGGAAAGGGCAGGGACAGCTGGGGAGGAGAAGAAGCCTGAGCCCTATGCCCATACCCAGCCCAGCTGCCGGGGCACTCAGAACCTCTAACTCCTCCCTGGGCCCCTTGGGACTAGTACCCCTCCTCTCTCCAGCCCCAAATACCAGAGAGACACAGAAAAAAGAGCTTTATGCATGTTTCCAGAATCTTCTCCCCCTTTTGGTTCAGTTCAGTTCAATTCAGTTCAATTTAATTCCATTTAACTGCCAAGTTTCAGTGCTAGAACCCATCTTTCTCTGAGCTCCCAGTTTTACCTCTGAGGCCCAGTGCATGCTACATACAGCAGGTACTTAACGTTTGCTTAAGAGCGGGGAGAGGAACAGAGGGAGAGGAAGGGAGAGAGAGAATGAAAGAGAAAAGCAGTAAAGCTCAGAGATAGGGGGATTGCATCTTTTACAACTTGGGGTCGGGGGCGGGTGGGGGACGGGGACAGATGTCTGTCTTGTGACCTCTTTGGTGGGCTGTCTCTCCTGACCCACCTAGGTCCTAGTCCCAGATTTGGGGCTTAAGAGGCAGCTGGGGGCAGGTCTGTTCTCCTGAAGCCCACCCTCACCCCCACCCTCACTCACCCAGGCCTATCCCTGGCTGAAGGCTGGTCAGCAATAGCAGTAGTGGCATCAACAGCCCAGACTGACCCTCACTGAGTCCCATGGCCAGGCCAAGCATCCAACAGTCTGTTTAAAAGTCTTTCCTGCAGTGTCCAGAGCCTCTGAATTCAGCTGTCTGTGCTGGGCTGGGGGAGGCAGCTCTGGCACCTCCTGCTGCCCCTCCCAGGTGCCCCCTCCTCCCAAACCACTGGTTGGACAGGTTTAGGGGCATAATCTGCGGCCCCGTGGATTTGGCATTCCCAGGGAGGGGTCTGGAGAGAACAATCAGTTGCTGCCTCCAAGACAAGCCCAGACACCCCTCCACCCCCCTCCAGAAAGGCCTACCCAGGGAAGGGCTGGAAGGGAGGAGGCAGCCCTGGGGCCAGGCACCGGTTGACAGTCCTGCCACGCCCTGTGGAATCTCCTCATCCAAACAGTCCCCAACCAGGCAACTAGCGCTCTCCACAGCCCCCCTGCTCAGAGGGAGTTACCCTCATTTTCTAGAGGAAGCATAGAGAGGGGCAGGAGTCTTGTCCAAGATCATGCAGCCGGCCAGGGCAGAGCCCAAATTACAGGATCATACCCAGAGGCAAGCTTGGGGGCACTCCCTGCAACCCGGTCCCTGGAAGGGGCTCCTCGACATCACCCTCTCCTCATCCAGGTGACCTACCTTCTCTCTGTGGCCACTGCCAGGGCAGGACAATCCCTCTTCAAATAGGAGATTCCCGGATGGGGCCCAGGGCAGGTGGGCAGAGCATGAACTGACACTGTCTCACCTGGATTGGAGCTGCAGCCCCTCGCAGCTTCCTGCCCCAAGTACCAGCCTGGCCAGAGACACCCTCTCCAAACTCAATCTCTTTTGAGGAGTACTTAAAAATTTTTTTTTTTAAAAACCATTACAAATATTCTGCAGTTGTTATAATGCATTTACACGCTCTTTGATTGCCAGCCCACATACACTAATTTTCTTTCCAAAAATACTTAAACTATGCCAATTGTTTATTATAGTGAACTTCAAAAAAGAAAAGTATTCGTGCCAACACTACGTAATTACCGAGTTGGTTTTTCGTGACTGGACTTTTCAATATTTAAAGTTACTCTGTTTCATCAGTGATTGACTCAGCCTCAAGAAACTGGCGGCAGGGGGCGGCGGGGTGGGGGAGGGAGCGGCAAAATCAGAGCAAAGGCTGCCTCAGAGAAGGCAAATGAGGAGCAGAGAGTCCTGGTGCGCGCTGGGTTAGCCTCAGCCAAAAAGCCGCTGATACCGCCTCTTACCGTGGGCCTGCTGCTTTGTCCTTCTGCCCCTCTGCACTTTTGGTTAGGCCAGTCTCTTCCAAAGGTCCCTCACTACCTTGCAATACTCAGGGAACTTTCGTTCTTCAGTTCTACCTCCCCCAGGGTCCGCACTGTTAGAAATGTGCCCTGACTGGCCTTGGCACCTCCCCTCCACGCTCCACTAGCATCTGGCGTGCACCTCCATCTGCTAATCATTGCAGCATAGAGTATGTTCTATCCTACTCCTTCTGAAAGCTCTCTGCAGGAACTGGCTCTCCTTACTGCGGGGAGGGAGGGCTCCCAGGGTCTTGCACAGGCCCCTCCATAAAGCAGCTATTTCAGCCCACTGGTGGTGACACTGCTGTGTTTCAGAATCAGGTAGGTCACCCTGGGATTAGCATTTAGCTATAGGATGCAGAGGTTGGACAACAGAATTTTAAACAAATATGTGGGCCTTGGTGAGAGAGCATGTCCCCCTCTCTTCTGAGTCTGGGCTGAGCCACACTTTGCGTGGCCCAGACTCAGAAGAGAGGGGACATGAGCGGATCTGACAGGGGCCAAGCTGATAAGTCCCCATCAGACCCAGCGGTGAAAGCCTTTCTTCATCTCCCCAGCTTTTTACTACAGAAATGGCCACACCTATAGAAAAGTTAAAAGTATATGGTACAATGAATGCTCATATATACAGCCTTCACTCAGACCCAACAATTGTCGACATTTTTCTATATTTGCTCTGGATCCCCTTCTTCTCAGATGTATAGATTTGCTATATATATATTGTGTTACTCTCTATATATCTATCTATACTAATATGTATATATAACATATATGCTAATACATTTATGTATATAAAATACATATGTATAGGTTTTTATATTATACATTTTATATAATATATATTAATACATATATATATTTACATTTCTCTCTCTCGCTCCCTTTTAAAAGGCAATTGAAAGCAGCCATCAAAATGTGGGAAGGGCAGGCTTCTTTTGAAAGCATGTTCTTGTTGATTGACTCATCATGTCCCCAGGTCCCCAGGTCCCCAGAGGTGGGCAGGGCAGGCATTCTTATCAATCTCATTATACAAATGAAAAAACTGGGGCCCCAACAGAGAGAGGAACTTTCTGCAGCCCCGTGGGGGGCAGTGGCAGAGCTGGATATCAATCTCGGGTCTTCAGAGACGCAGGCAGAACTCTCTCTCTCCTTTTTCTCCGTGTTTAATTTGGGGCCTGCGGGAACAAGTGATTCACCTTCCTTCTCAGACTTTGGCACACTTCATTACTACTCTGCACAGACTCTGCTTTTATTTTAATACTTTTTCTCTTCATGCCCATCTCTCGTCCACTCCTGCCCCTCCCTCAGTTCGGTGTGTGTCCCCGTATCAGTTACCTGTGGCAGCTGTGACGTATATTATGGTCTTTGTGGTACCCAGTGCAGAGCTTCTAAAGGTCATCTTTTGTTCCCAGAGTAATGAAGGTGAAAGGGGTGTGTTTTGCTTTTCATAACAAGCCCCTTTCATCCACATCTGAGTTTATGTCAATGAGATGATTTTCGGAAAGCCCCTAGAGAACCGCGGGATGGAGACTCGTTACCAAAGGAACCAGCCGTGTGATGAGAGAGTTGGGACTTTCAGCCCCATCACCCCTACCTCCAGGGAGGAGAGAGGGGCTGGAGGTTGAATTAATCACCCATGGCCAATGATTTAATGAAGACTCCATAAAAACTCCAAATATTATTTTTTAAAAATCCTAAAATACTGAAAAATCAGTCCTTTCCCTATCAGTTTGAAATATCATTTTTATCATACACCACAGACGTGGTCAGTCTTCAATGTCCCCTCTCAGCTTGATTCTGGACAAGCTCCCATGTGTGTCCACCAGGGGTGTCCACACTCACACCCACAGCCTGCTCGAGGCACCAGCTGGCTGAGTTTATCTCCTCAGGTATTGGTGTGAGGGCTCCTTCCCAGACCCACAGGGCTCCAGGAGTCCCTCCTGGTCCTGCATTCACCCTGGGGCTGCTGCGAGGGACAACAGCGGAGCCAGACAGCAGACAAGCAAACACATGGCCAGGCTGGGGGATTCTTTGTCCCACAGTCCTGACGGGGGCGCGCCAGGGAGCTGGGCAGCTCCTGCTAGGGGATAACTGGACATCCCAGAGTAAGCCACTCCCAGCAGTGCCGATATGTGGCAGAAATGACGGCAGCAACAAGGGGGCCGTTGAGGGGTGGGGGGAGTAGAACCAGGACAGACTCAAGACGGGAGAGACCCCACCTCTACCCACTGCCATTTTCCTAACCCGGGTCAGAGCTGGGGCCTTACATGGAGAGAAGCCATGTAAAGCGACTGTTACTGGACCCACAGCCTGAGGGTGCGGACACCAGAAACCATTGCTGCTATGATTTAGAAAACAAACTCAAGGGTCATGGAGACATTCATGCCTGATTCTTGTGTGTGTGTGTGTGTGTGTGTGTGTGTGTGTGTGTGTGTTCGGATCAGCTTCCAGACACTGATTCACACCTTAGATCAATCTGTCTCTTCAGGCATCAGTACTGGACCTTTTTGGTCACTGTAGCTTTACACTATGTTTCACTCAACCATGGGATAAATGATCCCTCACAATCATGACTCGCCAATCAGCCATTTCATTATTTGGTGACTGCCTCTTTTCTCCGTTAAGCAGTAACTCCCTGAGGGCAGGGATCAAGTCTGTTTAGCTCCCTCCCCACTATATCTCCAGTGCTGAGCCCAAGGTCTGGCACAGGAGTTGTGCTCAGTAATCATTTTGCCCGCTAATATGGTCCCTTCCTGTTCTGAGTATCTGGCCAGGTGGCCCATAGTTGCCTTCTTGTTCTACAGCTTTAGGCTGATGACCAGAATGTCCTGGCAGAAGCCAGCTTCCCTGTCGTGTCCCCTCTTCCTGGTCCATATGTCACCAGCTCCAGAGTCCCAGTGTGAAGGCAGTGGGCCCAGGATTCCCAGAGGGGCTAGGGTGGGGCATGCCAAGCCCTGGGGAATTGTCTTCAAGGACCTACCTTTGGGGTGACTCATGGGATGGGGTGGGGCTCCCACTCACCTCACACAAGACAGCCAGCTAAAGGCTCCCAAAGGTCTACGTAGCCCTGTATCACCAAACAAGGCCCTGACTCCTTGGCAACCATCACACCCTGTCCTGAGGAAGCACACAGGGAGACATAGCAAGGCTCTTCCCACCCTCTCCCAGCAGGTAGAAGCCCCAAACCTGAGGCCTGGGAATTCATCTGGGCAGTGACAGGAAGTGCAGGTGACCCGGTCCCTTCCCTCTCCACCAGCTTGGCTTCGAGGCCACTCACCAGACCCCAACGGAGATGCCTCTGTGCTAATATCAAAAGAGAAAGACCTCACAGTTCATATACCCGACCCTGGGCTTAGATCTTTCTATTGCACAGTAGTCTGGCCCCTTCCCAGTCTGTTTGAACACTCCTCACCGCCTCCATAGTCTAGTTAAAGCATCATACATGTGAAACTACAAACCAGGAACTCTGTTAGTTAGTGATTGCTTCCTTTCAGTGAAATCTCACAATTTTGGGGCCAAAGGTCAAGATACCTTGGCTTATCGCTGACCCACTGAGCCTGGGGCTGAGTCCTTCCTGTTCTGGGCCTGTGTCTCCCCACCCGCTCACTGGGGTAGGGGTGGGGGACAGAACATGGAGGTTTTTAGTTGTTACATTCAGTGCAACTGACACACTGTTTGGGAAGGGTCTGCTGTGTGCCAAGGTCACTGTGGGCATGGGCTACAGGCAGAAGCTCTAGAGGAGAGGTGGGGACTGGGAAAAGGGCTGGCGCTTTATCCATTTATCCTTTCAGCAGGTCCTCATAGAGCTCCTGCTCTGTGCCAGGCTCTAGGGTACCTCAGGGAACAAAAATCAAGTCTGATCTCCTGGTTGGGAGGGACAGACAGTTTGATAAACAAATACAGGTGTAATGGAATGTCTGGCGGTGATACAGGCTTTAAGGAAATGAAAGCTAAGAGGTTAAAGTTATGGAAAAGAGGGATTATTTTAGGCGGGGAGATTGTGTAACCCTGAGAAGATGACATGTAAACAGAACCTGAATGAACCAGGAGAGGGAGAACCATGGGACCCCTTGAGAGAGTGCTTTACTGGCAGAAGAATCAACAGGCACAAAGGTCCCAGGGTCAGCTGTCTATTGCTGTGTAACAAATGCCCCCAAAGCTCTGAGAATTAAGACGACAGCCATTTTATCATCTCTGACAATTCTGCAGGTGTGCTGGGCTCAGCTGGGTGGTTCTTCTGCTCTGTATGGGTTAGCTGGAGTCACTCATGTGGCTACATCCAGCCAGGAGCTCAGCTTCATTCACATGTCTTGGGGGCTGAAACAGCTGAGGGCTAGCTGGACCTCTCTTCTCATCCTCTCCCCTCTCCTCCCTCTTCCCTCTTCCCCACCTCTCTCTCCCTTCCTCTTTTTCTCCATGTGGTTGCTCATTATTCGGTGGTCCAGCCTAAGCTTCTTTACATGGCAGCAAGGACCCCAAGAGGGCAAAAATGGAAGTTAGCAGGCCTCTCAAGAGCTAGGCCTGAAACTCATACAGCATCACTGCAGCCCCATTCCATGGCCAGAGCAAGCCAGCACCAGCCCCGTTTCAAGGGGAGAGGAGGGAACGCCACTTGGCAGGAAGTGCAGCATCCACGCAGGGATGAGGGAAATGCCAGCGCTGTCCTTAGAACAATTCACCATGGGCCCAAAGGGAGAGCATCTCAGTGGTGGTGGGTTTGCCGGGGCCATTGTAGCTGGGAGACAATTAGGGAGCAAGAAGAGGGCTAGGAGATATGGTTAGTGCGGTCAAGGGGCAGCACAGATGACATGGGGCCATGCAAGTCATTGTCAGGACTTTGGCTTTGACCCTGAGATGAGAGCCATTGTGGGGTCAGAACAGAGGAAGGATGTGGCGAGGATCCTTCAGGTTGCTGTGGGGAGAACAGATTGGGGCTGGGGGTGTATTAGTCTCCTGGAGCAGCTGTAACAAATGATCACAAACAGACTGGCTGAGAACAACAGAAATTTATTCTTTCACAGTTCTGGAGGCCAGAAGTCCTAAATCAGGGTGTCCCGGGGCTGCTTCCTCTGAGGGCTGTTGGGAAGAATCCTCCCTTTCCTCTTCCCGTTTCTGGTGGTTTCAGCCTTCCTTGAGGCTCCTTGGCACTGCCCCAATCTCTGCCTCTGTCTTCACATGCTGTTCTCCTTTCTGTGTGTCCATCTCTGTGGCCAAATTTCCCTCTTTTTATAGGGACACCGGCCACATTGGGTTTAGGGCCAACCCTAATCTGGCATGATCTCATCTCAACTGCAAAGACCCTCGTTCTAAACAAGGCCACACGTACAGGTTTTGGATAGACAGGAATTTGGGGGGACACTAATCGACCCAACACAGGGGGCAAGGACTTTAAGGTGCCCACTGAAGAGACTGCTATAGTCATCCAGGGAAGAGAACAGCTTGGTGTCCAGAAGGGTCCTCTCTAAATTCATCTTCCACCCAGGCTGCACAGGAGGCCTTCCTGAGAATGGCTTCAGGCCTGTTTTTCTGAAGCTCAGAAGCCCGCTGCACTGGAGCCCAGGTGCACAGGGCCACTCAGTGCCTACAGTTGTCGGGGGACAGAAAGTGGAACCCAATCATGCCATTCACCCCCAGCACTCCCACAACTCACCCTGGGAGCAGCTAGAGGT